AGAGATAAGGTGATCGTGTATGCATCTCGACAGCTAAAAGAGCATGAAAAGAACTACCCGACTCATGATTTGGAGTTGGCAGTGGTAGTTTTCGCTCTAAAAATATGGAGGCATTACCTCTATGGCACGAAGTGCAAACTTTTCACTGATCATAAGAGTCTCCAATATCTCTTTAGTTAGAAAGAATTGAATATGAGACAACGACGCTGGCTAGAGTTACTTAAGGACTATGACTGTGAGATACTTTACCACCCCGGTAAAGCTAATGTTGTTGCTGATGCTCTCAGTCGGAAAGTCAATCTTGAAAAGAGAAGGCCAAGAGCGTGGAGAATAGAAGTTATCTCGAATATTTTGGAAAGTATAAAGAAATCTCAAGAGGAAGCTTCGGAGAAGAATGATCGAAAGGAAGAACGTTTGGGTAAAACGTTGGTGTTCGGTATAAACGGTCATGGACTGAAGGTATTCCAAGATCATATTTGGATACCTAAGTCAGGAGGAATAAGAGATCTTCTGATAGAAGAAGCTCACAAAACCATGTACTCCATTCATCCCGGTAGCACAAAGATGTATAGGGACCTGAAACCCTATTACTTGTGGCCGACGATGAAGCTCGACATTACGAAGTATGTGGCGGAATGTGTGACCTGTGCGAGAGTCAAGGCACAACATCAGAAACCATATGGGAGTTTAGAACCTTTGCATGTGCTTATGGGCAATTGGGAGGACATCATGATGGATTTTTTCACTAAACTACCCAGGACAAAGAATGGTCACGACATGATTTGGGTGGTCGTTGATCGATTCACTAAGAGTCCGCATTTCATAGCAGCCAACGAGAAATGGTCTATGGAGAAGCTTCCGAATTCTTATGTGAAGGAAATTGTAAGGCTTCACAGTGTACCGGTAATGATTGTGTTGGATCGTGATAGCCGTTTCACCTCAAGGTTTTGGAAAAGTATACAAGAGGAAATTGGTACCAAGTTGTGTTTAAGTACAACTTACCATCCATAGACTGATGGTCAGAGCGAACAAACGATACAAACACTTGAAGATATGCTAAGAGAATGTACCTTAGAATTCCAAGGTAACTGGGATGAACATTTACCATAGGTAGAATTTTCCTATAATAAAAGTTTCCACTCGAGCATTAAGATGGCATCTTATCAACCTTTATACAGACAGAAGTGTTGTACGCCGTCTTGTTGGCTTGAGGCTGGGGAAAAGCAGTTTATGGGACCAAAGATAGTCCATCAAACTGCTGAAAAGTTGAAAATAATTAAAGAGAGAATGTTAGCAGCTCAGGATCGTCAAAAGAGTTATGCTAACATAAAGCGAAGACCGATGACTTTTGAAGTTGGAGATTCGGTTTTGCTTAAAGTCTCGCCATGGAAGGGACTTATAAGATTTGGTAAAAAGGGGAAAATTAAGTCAAAGGTTTATTGGACCGTTTAAAGTTCTTCAGAGAATTGGGATCTAAACTTACAAGCTCCAACTACCAGAAGAACTGAATGGAATTCAAAACACTTTTCATGTGTGTTATTTGAGGAAGTTCACGGGAGAAGTTCCCGACATGATTCCACTTTCGGAGTTAAGAATCGATGAGAACAAAAGGTTGATTGAAGAATCAGAGGCAATCGTTGACCGAAAGACTAAGAAGTTGCGATGTAAGATGGTTGAGTTAGTGCTTGTCCGATGGAAACATGAGAATGGGCCAAATCTCACCTGGGAGACGGAGAGTGACATGATGAGTCGCTATCCACATTTGTTTGTTGATGTGTGATTCCGAGGACGGAATCATCCTAAGGTGGGGAGAATTGTAACGCCCGTGTTTCTGGCTTTCCATTTTTCGCAATGTAATAGTCTAGGTTAACCTTTGTAACCCAAATTTCAAATAATAAGAATGTATTATTTGTGAATTATGTGAATTATGTAAATTACTTGTTTATTTTTTTAATTATTATAATTTAATGAATTAAGAATAAAATAAGCGTTAAAATTAAAGTGTGAGATATGCCCGATATCTTTGCATTAAGATGTAGTGGTTGAAACAAGGATTCCGGAGATATAATGAATGACGAAATCCGAGTTATAACGAAGAAGTTATGACCCGTCGAAGTTTCGCAACAAAACCGGTGTGGCACAGCGTGACGTAAATAGTGAATTTACGAAGGAGTGATATTTAGCCTTTGTGATCAACACGAAAGACGTAGATAATGTTGAACCGAGAGCGTGCATAAAAAGAACGCCTAAATCTGACTTCGTATGAGGAAGTTATGATTTTTCGAAGTTTCAACTTAGCAGTACACAGCCTAAAAGTTCGAATTAAGATCGAGCCAGTTTTAGCCAAAACTTTCTAAACGAGAATCGAAGATCTCGTCGATAGTAGTGCATTGGTGAAAAGACAGACGAAAACGGACGTCAGACGAAGAAGTTATGAATTTCTAATGCAGTTTTTCTGTCCTGGCCTACTAAAAATAAATAATAAAAATAAAGTCAAAATTAGCCGACAGACTCCAAATGAAAGTTGTAGAGTATGGTCTGACCTACGCATGGATATAAAGAATGTCGAAAACGGAGCTCGTATGAGAAATTCACGCAATTTAGAAGTTTGACGAGTCAAATTATGCCGATCGTAATTTAAGTACGCCCAACGTACTCAGAGGGGTGCAAGTTGCCTGACCAATACTCGAGTGCCACCAAATGATGCATGCAGTAACGTCGAAGTACGCCCACCATAACCAAATTACGCCCAGCGTACTTGGAAATTATGCCCAGCATAATCCCAGACCCAACAGCCTATAAATAGAACTCGAGATCAGCCATTTTCCTTGCGATTTTTCTTCCTTTCTCTCTAAGTTTTGCATCGTTTTGCGTGCCAATAATATCCCGAAGCCCCGGTATCATTGTCGAGTCCCGAAGCAAGTTCTGAAGCCCCAAGGATCCTGAGAAGTGAGATTTCCGAGCAGAAGCCCTGCCCGCGAGGAGCCCGGTTTTCGTGAAGATCTTCCAGATCTACGGAGAAATACTACTTCTGCAAGCCGTATTGCTACCCGATCATCTTCTGATCAAGTGAGTGTATAGTCCCTTTCAATACACGATATTATACAAGTAATCGTTGAACGTATTTAAGAATACGGGTTGTGTGAGGGTATTATTATTACCTTCTAACACATAGACTTAAATGATTCTCCTTGAAATTTCTTGTTATGTGTTTTACGTGTTACTTGCTATTTGGATGGAGTATTGAAAGAGCATGTTATACAATTTTTCTTTTAAAAATTATGTATAAAACTTGTATATATTTATCTACTAATAAGTTGGGTAGAACATGGGTAGACAGTTGGTGTGCAATGAAATGAACTGATGAGAGGCCTCGTTGTTGGAGTTATTCTAGTCATTCAGCAAAGTATGGATGACGACCACAAAGTATTCTAGATAGTCCTGTGGAACATGGCATCCTGATTTTTTATTACAGGAAGTGGCGCAAGGGCATAAGATGGATGAATCATCAAGTTGTTTTATTTAAAAGTTTATATATGTATATATTTGTTGAATGACTTGTAATATTATCGTTTATGCTTTATGATCTGTATCGGAACATGGCATCCTGATTTTTTATTATGAAATGAAATTATATTTTCCTTATGAAATGTTTTGATAAAAATCTATTTTATCATGTTTTGTTTTTGGAAACAAATTCCGTATCTCTTTTAAAATCAAAATGATGTACTCTGAAAATGTTTAAAAAGTATAAATGAAACCGATCTTTTCTGACCGAGATTTTGGGGATGTCACGTTAATATTGTAGAAGGATCGTAGAGATCAAAATCACTATAACCAAAATGGGAGGAATGGTAAAGTTTGATGCAATCCTAATGGCAGTTTGATCGGTGGTTACCACAACGGCAACAAGCAATGATTGACAATTATTGGTCCAAGAATAATGGCAACAGTAAGCACTGATGGAGGTAGAGTCGCAGGGACAATCAATCGGAAAAAAAATGCACACCAAAGGGAACGAGAGAGATGAGAGATCGAGGCCTTGGAAGGTGTGGCTCAATGCCATGTTGAATTGTAAAAATACCTGTTAGGGTTAGCGATGCTTTGCCTCAAAATATATAATACAAAGATTCACATAAAGAACGGTTGTACCATACTAGATGTACAAAATAGGAAAAATAATATAATACGAATACAAGTGAGCCTTGCAAGGGTTAACTAAGCTTAACCGTCACTTTTTTGAGCATTCTGACAATGAGACAAATGAAAATGTCTCCTCAAATCACTTTTAACGTAAAAACATAAAGATATAGAAAACATAAAATTCATCAAAACCTTGGTCATGTGTTTTAAACTCATAGTACTCACCTTAATATACAGATCAATAACATAACTATTTCTTTAGTCGCTGTGCAAAATTTGGCCCGGAACCTTCGTGAAGTTCCCTTTAAAAAAAAACTATTTCCTTTACTTCAAAAAGGTTATGTAGCATGAAAAATTAATCATAATATTATTGTTAATTAATTAATAAATCCCTAGTAAAAATAAAATGTTATAAATAAGGCTTTTAAAGAAACAGTACTCATATAATGTTCTCAATTTCAAGTCTAATTCATGATTAGAGCTTCAAAACATTACTGGAGCTTCAATTAAGCTTAAGTTACACAACTGATCAAACAGTACGGATTTTCCTCGATTAAATGAAGAAGTTTATTAGGAATGACTTCTAACACCATTTGATAATATTATTGATTTTCTAAACGATTGTCAATCCAAAAATTACACCTATAAACACAATAACCAAGGCCAATGGGCCACCTATTGAAGTAGGCTACGTGAGCAACATTGGGTTTGAAGTCAAGAAAAACATACTTGTGAAGTCAAGAAAAACATACTTGTGAGTGAAAAGAAAACAAGAGAGCTAAAGGTCAAAGGTCAAGAGTTCTAGATTATGGTAGAGGAAGCAAAAGAGATTTTACTCTTCTTGATTGCTTTACATGCTTTAACCAAAACTTGAATTCAATAGAAATTAAAGAATAAAAAAACGAGCAACCAAAAAAACCATTTCCATTGTAAAATAAGTAACCAAAAAAAAAAAAAGAGCAATGATCATCGTCTATCTCCTTGAAGTCTTCTAGAAATATCACGTTTCAACATCTCCATAAATTCCTACAAGTCCCAAATACAAATGAATCAAATATGCGTATAAAACCATTAAAAATAAATAAAATGGTAGCATAAAATAGATAAAGAAAATGAAGAACCTGAGCCAACTCCTCTTCTGAGCATAACTCATCAAGTGCACCTGTATCATATGCACTGTTGTATAATCCAGAAGCAGTTTCAACTAATGATGAAAAGATTTCTAAAGGTGGGTATTGGTCCACGATTTTCTGGGCCACATGTTCTAGATTCATCTACAAATATTAACACAAAAATGTCAATAAATAACAATGCGCAAATTGCATGAAAAAGCAACAGACTTTAATTTACGTTTAACCAATATAGGTAATGTAAAATCAAACTACATTACAATTATGGATAAAAGATAAAGTTGGTTAAAAAAAAACCTTAAAATCACTTGATCTTTCATTAGTGTTCAAACTCTTCACACTGCTGTAACGTCTATTAAGAGCACCTTTCCTTGATGGAGTGGGTTGAAGCATATTTGAACTTGAACTTCCATGATTAAGAGCTTGAGAGACAAATGGCATCATTTGTTGAACCATACTTGATATATCAAGATTTCCACTCCTGGGCCCACTACGCATGCCACCTGGATCTTGATTACCATCCATCTGTTGAGCAAGTTGATTAATGGTGTTCATCATTGTAGGGTTTTGAGAAACTTGATTCATTAGATTCTTAAAGAAATCTTGAGAATTATTCCCGTTTTGATTTGAAAGTCCTGATAGTAAACCAGATAAAGTAGGATCTTGCATAACTTGATTCATTGTTGCAGATGGATCTGATTGGCCACTACCAACAACCTCTGATCTTGTTGGCCAATGTCGCTTCTAAAATCACATTTGAAGGTAATTTTAGTAAATAATTAAGTAAAAGAATTAAAGAAGTAAAAAAAAAAAGGATTATAAGAAAAAATATTTTGAACAAAGGTAGACACCTTATGTTGTAAACCTCCTGAGCCAAGTCCAACAGGAATAGAAGAAGCATTTGTAGGGATACTACTCCTCCCACTGGATGATGATGATGAAGCACCTTCTGTTTCACTTAAAGATTCCATTCTTGTACTACTTGAAACAACATTTCCAACACCTTGTGTATCCTATTGAGAAAATACTATCATAACAACATTCAAACAAAAAAAAAACGATACATAAAGTGTATTTGATTTTGATTATGACACTTTGACATCAAAGCCTTGACCTCAAACAATATTAGCATACCATTGGAGCCTGTGGAAGATCATCATTTGCTTGATTTGATGATTCAACATTAGTTTCCCTTACTCCTGTTAAAACGATAAATATGAGAACATATATATATATATATATATATATATATATATATATATATATATATATATATATATATATATATATATATATATATATATATATATATAGGTTATGTGAAGGCAAATTGAGTTAACTCACCAGTATGAATATGTATGTTAATGTGCCTTGGGATACTTCCAATTCCAATAGGAGTATAAGCTCCAGGATTTGCATTTGCATTTGCATGACTATCAAATAGAGAATTGGTTTGTAGAGGAAAGGGCTACAAGAAGATTGTGGATTCATTATTCATTAACCCCTTTAAAAATCTTTTTTTTTTTAAATTTTACAAGTGTGTGTATGCCCACAAACCTGAACCATTATAGGATTAGGACCCGATGGAGATATATAAACAGCTGGCCCAGGGTTTACATAAGATTCAGCCTGAAATGTTGACCTTAATCAGTTCAATTGTACATGACTAAATGACAATACTTATTATATAACTATTGTAGTACCAAAAAAAAAATGAAAAAGTAAAAAAAAAAAAAAAAAAAGCATACGGGAGATTCTCCAATATGTAATGTGAGCATTGTACGACCAAGCTCTAGGAAAAGAGCACCTAAATGTTGCATGGCAAGCCCAGACTGCATGGCTTCCGATTGGATTTGGGTTCTTACTGTGACATCATGAGTAGAACCTTCTTCTTCCTCCAGTCGTGTTGCTGTTTTCTATGAGGACAATTTTGGTTTATAAATCATAAGATATATGATATAATAAGAATTTATGTAAGAATATAAAAAAAAATATAATAGAGAGATAAATACAGATAGAGATTGAACAGCGGGTCCACTGAGAAGACGTTGTGCATGTCGCATAACAACTGCTAAAGCTGCTGGTGATGGTAAGCCATTAGCATTACAAGGCAATTCTGTTGCACGATTATCTGATGTGTGATTCCCTGTAAAATATCAAATAATTAACAAGGAATATTTATGTGATATTAAGAAGATAATTCATGAGTTATTATGTACCATTTTGTGATAATGCTTGTTCCATATGGTTCATAAACTCAGAAATTGTGTTTAAAGAATCAGGAATTGGCTAGAAAAGCAATCCAAGAGCATAAAGTAAGGTTGTGTGGAAAATAGAAAAATAAACTTTTGGGTTTTGATGATTAAAGTAAAAATTTGAAAGATGATATTTTACTGTAGTAATTGTGGGTACGAGTGCTGGGGTTTGAGTAGGACTAGGGTTTCTTTCATTTCCTTGGGTAACTTGCATGGGAATGCTAAACTGTAAATAAGTACACAAAATTATTATAAAAGATTTTTATCAAAACTAAAAAAAAAATAAAAAAAAAAAAAAAAAAAAAAAAATAGAAATACAAGAGGTGTTAGTATCACACAATGAAACAAAAAAAATGAAAGAACAAATGTCACCTGCATATTTGGTTGTGATACACCAACAGGGGTTTGACCCCCTACCCCAAAGGAATTCAAAACTGCCCCAATCACCTAGAATAGAAAGAAAATGACCATTTTACCCTTTGATTTTGACAATATTCATCAACTATACAAGCAAAAAGATCAATATTGGCTTCTTAGACAACATTGACAGAAGACCATGAGAAAAGAGAAACATACCTGAGTTATATCTGGACTACCATCTTCATTGTGGGAAACATGCCCACCAATAGAATTAGCATCTAGTCATGAGAAAAAAAAATCCATCGTATTGGTTTAGTTTTTGACTTGATGTTTATATGTTTAAACTATGATGTACTTTTTTAATTCCGTATGACAATTTTGCCATAATCATAAGATTTTCTTGAAATAATCGATTAGAAAATGAAGTGCATGCGTACAAACCTGTATTGCTTTGAGTTGAAAATGTGTCATCTGCATCATGGAAGTCAGATGAGACTTGAATATCAGATGGTTGTCTAGACACTAGATGCAGTGTATGTCCACTTTCAACGTCTATAAATAGTCAAGGGTCTCACTTGATAATCACACACACACACACATACACATAGAAAAAATAATAATAGGATACGATATTCAGAAAGAAGATCTTCATCTTTCAACACTTTGCCTCTAAAGATGAGTCGCTGGTGTTCCACTGAAAGGCCAACTTCACCAGCTATCTTTTCCTTGAATAATGAAACTGGCATCTGAATTTTGTCGGAAGAATTGTACATTTAAATCGAGGGAAATAAATGAAACAACCAATTGCGTAATAAAACTGACAAAAAGACATAGATAAGGGAAGGATATACATTTCTGTCGACATGAAAGCTGTGTAACTGTGAATCTAGCGTCTTGATATTAATCTCCACTGTTGATCCAGAACTTTCAACAGTAACATTACTCGTGGTTGCACCTTCAGCATCTGAAAGTTTATCTGCTTTTGATTTCAAAGTTTCATCAGAACGTTGATCTGCCACAGTTTTTGGTTCTGAACTTTTAACATCAACACTAGATGTATTCACATGTTCGTCGGAATGTTGATCTGCCATGAACAAGAATGTCGAACGAGGATAACTGAATTGATAATCCAATCTTCAAATTGACCTGTTTACCCCAAACGAGATGATAGGAAAGATAAAACGGAGGAAAAAATACAAATGAGGTGAAATAACGAAACTAATGGTTCGACATTGTCGCTTCGAATACGATAAACCCAACCCAATGAATACTATCGATTACAAATTGTATCACGATTATGGATTAATTTTTATACGTATCGGGTTTTGGTGTGATATGCAATTATGCAAATAACGTAACGTACCTTTTGTGAGGTTGGTATAGAACATTTCTTAACAACTGCGTTTCTTGATAGTATCTTGGAGAAGATGGAAGGGTGTCTCCTTCACGCCTTTTGATGGTTGAAAATAATCAGATTTTAAACTGAACAAAAAATTATAAAGTTATAATTTTTAGGAAAATAATACAATCACAACAGGGTGGCGAAATGGAAATGACGTACTTCATCTCAAATATTCCATGATCAAACTATGCACCAATGTGGGGAGAAAGATCATTTAAAGATGTTGTGAGCAAAAGTGGAAGAAATCAGTTGTCCGAAATGTGAAATTTGAAACAAGGACTTGAAGCGTAAGGAATCAGTTACGATCGTATTGCATGGGTTAATGTAAAATGTATCCAAAATGGGTAACAGAGGAAATCGGGAACTGGGATCCTGCTTTCACGAAGGTGATGACCGATTATGAAGATGAGAGTGAAGAAAGGGGAAAAAGATTTCGATACCAGAAACGAGGTCGGAGAGGAGGAAGAAGAATGAGGGAATTCAAACCTCATGAACAAGATTTCAATGAAAATGAAAATGTTGATGGAGATCGGCTAAAAGAAAATTCCTGTGAAGTTGATCGGAAAAACATTCCGGACGACGAACGTTCTGGATTATCGATTCCTGATGCTTAGTGGGATCTGAAACGTCACGTGTACACAAGTCAAGATGATAATATGGGCCATACTCACGTACTTCCCATGGGCTTAAATTCAAGAAATGGAGTAATTAATCTAATCACAGTTTTAAGTTCTCTTAAGAAAACAAGAACTTTTTTTTTTTTTTTTTTCCTTTTTAAACTAACTTGGTTGTCTCAAAGGCTGAAACGGAGAGGGTGATTGAGATTTTTATTTAAAAACAATATATTTATTTATTGGTAATTTAAAAAATCAAAAAAGTATTTAACAATATGAAAGATCCTTTTAAGGAGGTGTTTGTATAAATAGTTTTTCGCTTATTAGCTTATTGCTTATTTATTTATTGCGGTGAGAATAAATATTTTTTTAAAATGTGTTTGGATTAGATTATTGCGGTGGGAATAAGCAATAAGCATTGTAAGTGTTCGACAAGCAAAACAACTTATATGAGTAAAATGACCAATAAACAATAAATAATAAGCAATAAGCATTCCCCATTGCTTATTAAAATCAGCTTATTTGGCTTATTCCTACTACAATTAGCTGATTTTAAAAAACTCCTATCCAAACACTTAAATTTGCTTATTACGGTGTGATTAAGCAATAAGCAATAAGCAGCTTATTTTTTCCCTATCCAAACACCCCTTAAGTTGAAATTTTTGTAACTTAAGATTTATAATTTTTCACAATTGCTTATAATTTTTTGGATTTTAAAAGTCAAATACTCATTAAAACATGTATAAGCTAAGACAATCACTTAAAAATAATAATAATTAAAAAAAAAAAAAACAACAACTTATTGACTTATTGAGTTTCACGCCATAAAACATAAACCTTAAGATGAAACTTTGAGCTTTAATGGTGAAAATGTCATATTGACTAGAATGGTTGAATTAATCAACCTATGTCTTTGATTATGATGTTATTGAGAGGATTTAGAAGCTTTGAGCAAGCCTTATATGTGATTTCCATGGTAAAACCCATATACAGAAAGTTAGGGTTTGAAACCTTACCTAATGAGAGGGGTGACTTGATGCATTAGGATTAGCATGTAATGAATTAGATAGTATGGGATGCTTAATTCATTGGGTAAAATCGATTTAGAGGTAGAAGATGAAATGTTAGAGTGATTAAGCTCTTAATAGGCCAAGACAAGTTCTAAGGGACTTTATATGTTGTATGAATAGGCCTTGAGCAAAGAAGATGGATCAAGATGCATCAGTTAGAGAATGGAAGCTAAGGATAGTTAGTATTCACTAACCAACAAGGTCAGTTATAATTCACTCTCTTGCTAGATTATTTATGCATGTTATATGTGTTTATGTTATTATGTATGCATGCTTATATGCTCGTGGTGTTTTGTTAAATACCCATAACTCGTTAGATGAAGATAGTGAGTGATTATATGAACTATATCCTAATGGATGATTATATGTGTATGAGTAGATGTTAGTGGTATTTTCTTAAATACCCAAGATATATAAGACATAGATAGAATGTAAATGGTACGATTAGATGTAGATGGTATTATGTTGAATACCTACAAGTTGTTAGACGAAGATAGATTATGATTATATGTTTATAATCATGTAAATGTGTATGTATGTATGTATGTTTAGAGTATGTAAGTGTGGTTGAATATAGAGTATGTAAGTGTGGTTGGGTATAGAGTATACGGGTGTGGTTAGATATTGATGGTATTGTGTCAAATAACCATCATATATTGGATAGAGATAGAGTATGGATACATGGCTAGATGCCAAGGGTATTTTTTTTAAATACATATATGTTAGTAGATCAAGATTTACATTAAGTACTTAATGAGTTAAGTACTAGAGTGGTAGTAGAAGATCTCTTGAGGAGATGATGAGATACATTGAGATGAGACATGTGATGTGTAACGTCCGTGTTTCTAGACTAGGCATTAATGATAATGTAATAGTCTAGGTCAACATTTGCAACTTGTTTTGAAGTAATAAAGATGTATTATTTGAGTATTATGTGCTTATACTTAATTATTATGATTTAATAAATTAAGGATAAATATAAGTGTCAAAAATAAATGTTAGATAAATCCGATATCTATGAAGAAAGTTGTAGTGGTTGAAACAAGGATTCCGAAGATATAAATAATACTGAAATCCAAGTTATAACAAAGAAGTTATGACCTATCGAAGTTTTACGACAGAACCGGCACAACGCTGTATGACGTAAAAAGTGAGTTTACGATAAAAGTGATTTTTAGCCTTAGCAATCTAAATGAAAGTCATAGTACATGTTAAACCGAGAGAGTGCACAAAAAGAATGTTTAAATTTGACTTCGTATGAGGAAGTTATGAATTTTTTAAGATTTGAAATAATAGTATGCAGCTCGAAACTCGAATTTTAGATTGACCGATTTTTAGCCGGCACAACCTAAATGAGAATCGAAGATCATGTCGATTGTAGTTTAACGGTAAAAATATAGATGGAAACAGACGTCGGATGAAAAAAGTTATGAATTTTTAACGGACTTTTCCTGTCTCGGCCTATTAAAATATAACTTTAAAAATAAAGTCATAATTAGCCGACGAAGTCCAAACAAAAGTTGTAGAGCATAATTTCACTTACGCGTAGATATAAAAAACATTAAAAATAGAGCATTTATCTGAAATATATGAATTTTTGAAGTTTCAAACACAAACTTCGAATCTGGAAGAACGCCCAGCGTACCAAGAGGTACACTTAGCGTATATATGTACGCCCAATGTACGAGATATATACGCCCAACGTACTATTGTGTTCACAGTCCAAAATTGGCCACGTAGCCCTACTCCATTGCGTGGTGCACACGTGTTCGTAGTCTTGACGGGTCGATAATCCCTTCGTACGCCACTGTAGTGGTTGGTGAAGTAGTACGCTCCGCATACCAGGAAAGTTACACCCAACGTAACTCAAGGCATCAGCCACTATAAATAGTGAGTGGACCCAGTCGAATTGATGTTACAAACTTTACATCCTCTCACGCGCTACTTTCCTTTATGTTACACTAAATGCCCCTAAACCTAAAATACCATCCTAGCATCGTAATCAAGTCCCGAACCAGCTGAAAATCCCAAGAAAAAGAGTTTTCAAGCCGAAACTCTATCCACGTGAAGCCCAGTTTTTTAGAAAACATCCCGATTTTATCGAAATAGATTATTTTAAGGTACGAAGTGTTGTCTAATCATCGTTAAATCATGTGATTGTGCGCTCACTTTCATCTTACACATAGATATGAAGTATTTTCTATAAAATGTGTGATATGTGTATAAATATTGTTTGTTTATTGGAGATAGATGTTGAATAAAGTTTTTATACATGTTTAGAATGATTTAAATTGTATATGTGTTATCTACAAATATGTTGGGTATGACATGGGTAGATGAAATAGTTGATGTGTGTTAAAATGATGAGAGGCCTCGATGTTGTTGATGTTTCTAGTCATCTAGCGGAGTATAGATGACGACCACATACTATTTTAGACGGTCTAGTGGAACGCTAGCAGGCTCGCAACCTGTAGGTGTTTTTGAACTAAGTGTTCACCAGATGTACTTCATCCCCCCCATGGTTGCCTTATTTGACATGTATTGCTGAGGAATCCCCTAAGTAGTGTTATCACCCAAAAAAAATCCTTAGACTAGGTCCCTTATGATAGGTGTTTAGGGACGTAAAGTGAGGATAACAGGAATGAGTAATCAGGGATATTGTTGGTTGATAAAATTACTAAATTTATTATTGGTTGATGAAATTAATAAATTTGTTTATTGTGGGTTGAAAACCCTATATGCTCACCAGGCTCCCAAGCCTGACCTACTCAGCTTTTTATATTACAGGTAGTGGACCTAGAGCATAGTTGGATGACGACGAGAGATTTTTGGATTATAGGTCAGTAGATGTAAATAACTGATGTAATGTCTATAATATACTGTTTATGCTTTTGGTCTGTATCGATGTGGACATCCCGAGTTTTGTAATGAAATGAAAAATACATTTCTTTAAGAAATGCTTTGATAAATTTTTATCATATTTTGTTTTGGGATGAATTCTGCATATTTTTATTGGAGGGATTACTCTGGATTTATTTTAAAGCATAAACTAAACCGGTCTTTTCTGGCCGAGAAATTAGGGGATTTCACTGTGGGTATTAGAGCACTAGTATATTTTAGGAAAGATGCCTAAAATGGTTTTATGTGCTAAATGTTATATATTTGCCATATATGATATTATTTGTTCAGATCTATGGTCTGTTGTCGATCGAATCTGGAAACCTTATGTGTTCAGGATTCTAAGCATATGACTACGATATTAGAACTAGCATGTAACATTTCAGAGTGATAAGGAGAATTTTAATATCTATCGTGAATGAAGATCTAAATTCGCCTAATTTGGTGTATAAATCACAATGGCGAAAACCGGAAGTAGAGCTGGAAATGCAAATAGAAATCAGCAACCTCGACCCCAAGTGATGGAGCAGGTGCCTATAGCAGAAGCTGCACCAGAAGCAATCACAATGAATGGAGTGTGAGCCATGATTTAAGCCATGATGGCTGAACAAATGGAGGAAATGAGACAATTGTTGCTG